CTACTAATTCTTTCCATAATAACGGTTTCCACCAATTTATCTGATATCGACATCAGACTGACTGGCCTGTAATTTCCCAGATATCCTCTGGAACCCTTTTTAAGGATGGGAGTGATATTAGCTGCCTTCCAGACCTCAAGAATGGAGGCAGATTTTAATCTCTTTTAGTGGATAACTGTCAACCCAGTGTGCTGCAGCAGTTAAAATGTTAACTGTATACTGGGGAGTATTACAAAAAGGACTGAACATAAAACAGTTGACATTATAATGCCTCTATGTAGATCTGTGGTGCGGCCTCATTTGAAATACTATGTGCTGTTAACCATATCTCAAAAAGGACATCACAGAGATGAGAAAAATACAGAAGAGGGCAACCAAGATAATTAAGGGGCTGGAGGACTTCTCCAGTGAGGAAATTCTGAAGAGTCTAGGCCTTTTCAGTTTTAAAAAAAGAGATGACTAGATGACTAAATGACAGACATGATAGAGGTTTAGAAAATAATGCATGGGATACTGAGCATGGGCATACAAAAGGAATTACTTCTTTACACACCACATAATTAAAAACATGGCATTTACTTCCTGTTGATATAGAGAAGGCCACAGACATAGGCAGCTTTAAAATAGAATGAGACAGATTCATGGAGGATAGCCTATGAATGGCTACTAACCATATTGACTAAGGGGAACCTCCAGCTTCAGAGGCAGTAGAGCTTTGAGTACTAGTGCCAGGAGACAGCATTTGCTTCCTGTTGATATAGAGAAGGCCACAGACCCTGTTGTTGGTCATCCAGATGAACTGGTTGGCTACTGTTGAGGAAAGACGCTGGACTTGATGGACCACTGGTCTGATCCAGTAGGACTTGACTTCTGTTATACATTCTGAATGCATCAGGACAAAATGGCATATTTTGGATACTTTTGGATTTCCTCAAAGTGCAAATGTTTAATTTCCCACCTGTTAGGAGATCAAACCTTTTGGGTCTTTAACAGGAAGAATATTTACCAAACCATCTCCTACCCTCTTTGTCTGACATTTTCCCTTCTGGACATAGGTCACAATGGTAGCAGCAGAATTTCTCCCCTTCCTTCTTCTTCCTGCTGTAACCAGGCTTGCAGGGATCGTTACACACAGAGAAAGGAGGTACCTGTCCTTGAAGTAAGCAAGAATTTAGAATGGAGAAACTATTTATATTTATTTATTTATTTATCAAATTTATACCTCGCCATCCCAGCCAAGGCCGGCTATTGCAAGTATTGCTTTAGAATTGCTCTACAAGTTGTCAAGGTAATGGAAGTATGATATCTGGGATCTAAAAGATGGCTCATTGTGAGTGAGAAGAATGCATATTATCCAAAGCATGTTGGAACCAACAATGGTTTACATGTGGCTTGCTTGCTGAGCCTAGTGATGCTGTAATTAAGAGCTGATGTGGCAGATTTCATACATTAAAGAATTTGCTCCCCTTAAAGCTTCTGTCTACCCATTTCATTAAATGACTAAGGGTTTTGTATTTGTTTGAGAGACACTGAGATGTTTTCTCACCTGTGGAAGGTGTCTGTTCCACTTAATCCGGTCCTCGTCGATGATCACTCGTTTACTAAGAGGGACCTGAGGATCCAGTCTCCCGATCTTGACTCTGACATAGGAGTTATTTGGGAAAGTGATCAAGTTGGTAATATCAAATCCACCTTTCAGTTCCTGTTGTTCATCAAAGGTCACTTCATCTCCAGCACTGTTGTTGAAAGCAATTCTCTGAAGAAGGGTATGGAGCTTGGTGAAAAGAGAAAGAGCATTAAGGGGCCTGGAATCAATTGGATATATTGAAGTGTGCTCAACAATACCTTTCCATTTCAAACAGATTTTTAGTTCACTTTCTTCCAGGAGAGAAGTCATTTATGAATGCAGCTATATTATTTTTGCTCATGAGAATAAACTTGCATTGCCAGACAGAAGACAAAGGAAGGAAGTATGATTCAGGATTTTTCTTGAATGAATGCTGCTGAGAGAGCTTCAAAAAAGATCCCTTTTGGTTTTCTGCATCCAATGCTGGCAAAAAGGAAGTTTCCATAACTCACTGCTGAGTATTTTCTTGGCATGCAGAAAGTCCCAGGGAAAATCCTTAGTATTTCCATTTGAATGGTAGGGTAGTAGGCCGGGCCTCTAAACTGTGGAGTCTTGTGAGCAAAAATTCTACTTTTGTGAGCTACTGGCATTAAAGTTGTGAGCAAGCAATTTGGCTACTGCAGAAATTTGTTTGCTTTGGAGCCACCATTCCTGAGCTAAGACAAAAATGTGTGAGCCAGAGGCTAAAAAATTGTGAGCTAGCTCACACCAACTCAGCTTAGAGGGAACACGGGTAGTAGGTGATGTGAAAGAGGGGGGCCTCTATGAGCCTCTTGGCCCTGGACACTCTGCTGAACAATCTGGAGAACTGCTGCCAGCTTCCCTTGACCTTGATGAACGAGTGGTCTGATTCAGTATAAGGCGGCTACATAGAAGAAGAGGGAATAGGTGGTAGTATGGTAGGAAAGAAGAGGTAAAGCCCACAATTCCATAGGATTTCTTGTAATTTCCGTATAATTTCCATTTAAATTCTAATTTTCCATAATTCAAGTTATATAAGAGTTATGGAGTTGTTTTATCAGGTTTTTTGGTCTTTGCTCAATATCTTTTGTTTACAAAACTTGTTTGCATGTTCAATTCTTTAATGAATTGTATTTCATTTAAAAGGCAGTCATTATGTTGTCTCTTATTGTCATCTCTCCAAATACCCTTTTGGTTACTCCACCCCCTGAGTCTTTATGCCAAAGTTCCCAGAGGTCTCAGATCAAGTGAGGGCAGGGGATGAGGCTATGTCACCACCTACACCTTCCCAGCTGGTGCTCCTGTTGCTTCCCTCTCTCTGGCGTGCAACAATGTGAGCTACCAGGGGAATCCACCTTGACCATCTAGCTTCCTCCCTTATATTCCCTTTCCTGCTCCCAGCTCCATCCCCCTGATCCACCTACAGTCTGCCACCCTGTGGCCCTGCCCATCTTCTTATGCTCAGATGCCGAGCTGGGAAGCAGGGCTCTGGTGTGTCAGCAGGGCCTTGCTGGGCTGGGAGGCTCATAGAAGCCTCTTTCTTCTGGCTTGGGGCTTCTCGGGCATCTGGAATGGTCACTGGGCGATCCAGGCTAGGGCACTGGCCCCTCAGGTGGGGCCAAGTGCGGGCCATCTTGCAAGCTACAGGCTGCATGGAGGACACTTCACCTCTCCAGCCAGAATTCATGGTTTGTTCTCCAGCCTTGCTCGCTTGGCCCGGTCTTACAGTTTACGCCCCCCCCCAGCCTTCTGGGCCAGGTGCCCCAACACCCCTTTTCTTCAGGTAAATGAGGGGGTCTGGGGATTGGTGCCATCACTGGTTCTCCCAGTGGGGTTGGGATCCTCGTGGCCTGTGATTGCTGCCAGGGAGCGGACTAGCGAAGTGAAGCTGGGACACTTATCCACATTAAAGTCCCTGTTTTTCTCAGGTGTACCAAAAGAGAGGAAGGGAGGAGCTGCAGATACCCTACTTACCAGGAGAACACAAAAGCTAAATCTAGAAGGGCAATGTGGTTGTGGATTCTACATTAAAGTTCATGGACAGAGAATCATAGAGAGAGTAGATTCATAGTGTCATAGAGTTGGAAGGGACCTCCAGGTTCATCTAGTCCAAACGCCTTCACAATGAAGGAAATTTACAAATACCCCCCCCATGACCCCTGTTCCATGCCCAGAAGATGACAACAAACAAACAAACCCTCCAGGATCCCCGGCCAAACTGGCCTGGAGAAAAATGTTTTCTGTACCCCAAAGTGGCGATCAGCATTTCCCTGGGCGTGTAAGAAAGGGCCACAAGAAGTAAGCACTGATGCAACCCTTCCTGCCTTCCCTCTCATCGTCTGCCTAAATTCACAGAATTAACATTGCTGTCAGATGGCCACCTAGCCTCTGTTTAAAAACCTCCAGAGAAGGAGACCCCACCACCTTCCAAGGAAGCCTGTTCCACTGAGGAACTGCTCTGTCAGGATGTTCTTCCTAATGTTTAGCCAAAAACTCTTTTGATTTAATTCCAACTTGTTGGTTCTGGTCCGACTTTTTTGGGGAGCAGAAAATAAGTCCACACCATCCTCTATATGACAACCCTTCAAGTACTTGAAGATGGTTATCATATCACCTCTCAGAGGTTTCCTCTCCAGGCTAAACATACCCAGCTCCCATGGCCGGCTCGCTCACTAGGTGAGCTAGTTTCTAGCCTAGAGCGCAGCCATCATGGGGGAGCCAGACTGAGCCACCCTCCCCCGCAAAGCCCCCACCAAAAGCTCATGCTGTGCGCTGTCCACCGCAGCCTCTTCGCCCGCCCCGCCAAAAGCTGTGCCGTGCCCTGGAGAGGCACCACAGCGCCACCCCTCGGTTAGCTGTTAGCTGCCGGGCAGGTGTCTGGGCTAGCGTGGGGGGCACCCTTGCCTCTCGTTTCTCTCTGCAGCGGCGGCGAGGCACTCAAGGAAGTTTGGCATTGGGAAGTGTGCCCAGAGCCGCTGCCTTCCCTCCCCACCATCTGGATTCTCATCCCTGGGCCTCCCTCGGTGGCCATGGCAGGGACACCCGAGCTCACCAACTGGCCAGGCCCCACAGCCAGCCCCCCCACCTTGGCCGCCCGAGCGACGACCCTCTTGGCAGGCAGCGGCAGCAGCAGCTCCCTTTGAGATCTATTTGCCGCAGGGGGGCAGGCACAGGAGGGGGAGGGGGCAGGGCGGCACACAGGGAGGGGGGACGGAGAGCAGCTGGGTTTTTCCCCCTCCTCCGCCCACCCCTTTGAGGGGCTGGTGGTGGTGGGGAGCCTCGGAGGGGGAGAGAAAAGCGCCCCTCCCCCATCTGGGTCCTCAGAGTTCCTCTGGTGTTTGTTTGTTTTAAAGAACGCAACTCTCCCCCCCGCCCCCAGTGCAGCATCAAATCAAAGCGGTTCTAGGTAAAAGTCGGATCAAGTTGAAAGGGGTTGCCAGCAGTGCTCCCTCAAAGCTGCATGGCAGGGACACCCGAGCTTGCCAACTGGCCAGGCCCCACAGCCAGCCCCCCACCTCGGCCACCTGAGCGATGACCCTTCTGGCAGGCAATGGCAGCAGCGGCTCCCTTTGAGATCTATTTGCTGCGGGGGTGTGTGTTTCCCATAGGGCAGGCACAGGAGGGGGGACGGAGAGCAGCTGGGTTTTTCCCCCTCCTCCGCCCACCCCTTTGAGGGGCTGGTGGTGGTGGGGAGCCTCGGAGGGGGAGAGAAAAGCGCCCCTCCCCCATCT